CAGAGGGGGTGCTGTGAAGACATTCTAGGCCCTGAAAGGGACAGGTCTAGGCACTTTCAGGGAAGTGAAGATAGACTAGCAGGAACAGGTCTTCATTAATGATGGGTGTTGAAGCTGGAGAGGCAGATCTGATAGATAGATCATGCAGGGACTTGTAAATCATATTAAGGATTTTGAACTTGCCTCTGAGGGCAATTAAGAGGCCATTGAAAAGCCTTAAGTATGGGCTAACATGATCTAATCCATGTTTTAAAACCTCTTTTTTTTTTTTTTTGTATGAAGAAGATAAAGCCTTTCCCACTACACAGCTATGGGTGTGTTAGCATGATGACTTAAATTTCCTGTAAGTTGTAATTGGCTAATAAAGAAACTTTCTCCGAATAAGGCTTTGATGAGAGTGGGAAAGAGGGTAGGGTGTCTATATGGGGACCAAATGCCAGGAACAGAAAAGGAGGAAGGGCTTAGGAGCTTCTTCTGCTTTGTGGTTGTGGCTGAGGCGGGTTCTGCCCATGCGTGTCTGAAGCAGCAAGAGTGTAAGTTCACAGGCAATTGCTGTTTCTCTTCCTTGCATAGGGGACTCTGGTGCTCAGGCTGTGTCCATGTGGAGGCCTTTTTCCTGCATATGAGCTCATTTAGAGATTTCATTCACTTCCCAGGCATCACGGTTACCTGCCTGAAAATGATACCCAAATCTATATGTCCTCCCTGGCCTTGAGAAGATTTTCATTTTTAGTGTCTTTGTGCTATTGCCCTGTGCTAACACATCATGTTAATGACAGTTGCAAGTATGCAATTGTTTAGTGTTGATCTGTGTATAGTTGTCTAATGCTTGAAAAATTATACAGAACCAGCTGTGATTGCTGTCCTGCCTTTCGCTGACATGTCTCATATTATCTGCTGGACAACTGACCCTGCAATGTCATTGCAACCACAAACAGCCTGCCTGTAATTGAACTCATCATGTCTTTCCCAAACCAGCTTGCCTCTGACCTCTTCTGACTTTGTCAGTAACATCAGCGTTTACTGTCTCCCAAGTTCCAAGGTTTGGAGTCCTCCTTGACTCCTTTATCTTATGCTGTTACCAATTCCAAGCACCAAGATTGTTTCCATTCACCCAGTGGAATGCCAGTATACCATCTGTTCTTTCCTTTCATCACTCTTTATTATCCTAATCCTACTTACTCCAAAGTTGGATACTTCTACCTTATTACAACCTGTTCTCTTAAATCTAGGTTCCTTTCCCAATACACCTACCCCCACCGGCCCGGGACACTGGGACTACTCTGTATATATGTTTTTCTTCATCAGGCCTATGCTGTTTAGCAAAGGCTCTTCTGTATTATTTTTTGTAGTGAAATTTGTTTTTCTTAAAGGGATACTATGTAGAACCCCGTTACATACAAGAGATAATCATGAAGCTTCTCTGATTGAAGATGGGCTAAAGGGAGCACAATCTCCTTGATCTGTTCTCAGCTTTTGAGGCAGCCTTTTTGGTATCAAAAGGCTCATCGAGGCAGTTTGAGAAAAAAGATGTGTAGAACGTAGTTGAACTCTTTGGAAACATACATATGCTTCCTTTACAAGTCTTTTTGTTTGTTTGTTTGTTTGTTTGAATTGTTATCTATGTAAACTTTCCAACCTCGTCATATAAATTCACACAAAATTCTTCAGTGCACAGTCATTTCCTCATCTCTGTCTGGGTTTATGGTATTTCCCCTGCCCTGAGTGCCCAGAATGCCTATCCATACGTCTCTGCCAATCTAATTCTACCTTTCTTTGTCCCAATCCAACCTCTTACGGGCTTTCCAGATTGTTCCAGCTCTCAGCAATTTTTCTTTCTTCAAATTTCTCCAGTATTCTTTTCTTTTTAATTCACCCTGTACTATCTTGAATTTGCATCTTTTCACTTATGTGTTCAATTTCTCCCACTAGATAACAGGCCACTGGAGGAAAGAATCAAGTCTTTTGTTGCATTTTGCCCTCAGCATCTAGCATAATATGCAGCCCTAGAATTGGCTTAGTGGATATATTTTGATGATAACCCACAGCAAGAAATAATAACTATAGGCCCATCAATCTCACTTTCATTAACAGAAGTCTCAGTTAAATATCGTGTCTTTGAAAATGTTCCTCCAGAGCAGTGCTTTTAAGTTAGGAGAACCAGCCACTATGGCTTTAATTGCAAGCATTACTTTTTTCTCCAATTACCATTAAGCCTACAACTAGCTTCTTTAACTGACTTTCATTAAATTATGTTGGAAGTAGATTCGGGGAATGACGACAGATGGTTGTAAGTGGGGAGTTCTTAGTTTAGACTAGAAATAGTGTTTTATTCCATCCTCCAACATTTTAGCAAAGTCTCACTTAAATCATATTCAAAGGATTATAAGAAACTTCCATCAATATATAAATCAAATGGTGCCACTTCCTTTAAATCTCTGAGCATGTTTGACAAGGCCTTCTCCACCTCCCCCCTCCTCCTCTGCACCACCCATCCCCCTCGCTCACCACACCCTGGCCACAGAAGCCCACTTCCAGTTCCCTGGATTGCAAAACTCCTTCCCTCCTCCTGACTTCTTATTGTGCCACCTTCTGCCCAGATGGTCTTCCCTGTTTCTTTCCTTGATCCATTCCTGTCATCCTTTGAGCCTCAGTCAGTTCATCAGCTCCTCAAGAGAGTTCTTCTCTCATCTTGCAGAATAGGTAAAGCTTCCTTGTTATGTGCTTTCATATTCCTTATCACAATTGTAATTATATATCAACTGTGAAATTATTGTGTTCCTGTGTTTCCCATTAGACTGTAAGCTCTAAGATGTCAGAGACTGGACAAGAACTATAATATTTTTAATGCCTAGAATTGATGTATCACAGATGCTTGAATGAATCCACGAATAAACAATTTATAAATATCTTATAAAACTTTCAGAGAAACAAACTATTATAATATTATTTACATCCAGAGCTTAATTCCCCTTGTCTTGTCTTGAATGGACATGGGCAGCATTTTCTGGGTCATGTGATTCACATCACACACACACACACACACACACACACACACACACACGTTTTCTAAAGCAACTTTGACTTTCATAAAACAAGCCCAAACAACCAAGAATTACCTCAAAAAAACTTCATATGCTCCCAAACAGAATCTAACCAATTTAAATGACTGGGTATAACATGAAAATGTAAAACTATCTGTTTTGTTTAAAATTATCTGATTTGTGCACACCAGCATGGATATTCATATAATCCTTATTCACATTAAGTTATTCTGAAAATGTATATGGATGGATGAAAAGTGGGAGAAAAGGGTCTCATAGCTATGAAATGTCTACATGTTGACACCTTTTAGTACATGATTATCACTAAAGTTAATGTGTTCTCCTTCCCTGAAGGCTCCAGCGCCCCCACTGATATGTCCATGACCTGTTTCTCTGTCCTTTCAGTCTTGAATTACCCTGCTGAGTCAGACAATTGGAGAACAAATTAGCACCAACTGCAGAGGAGATTTTTTTGGTACAAAAATCTGACCTTAAAAAACCCAAGCCTTAAATATCTTTCCATCAGGATGCTAACAGTTCACCAAATTTGCATTAAAGGACCTAAGGTTTCATACACTCTCTCACTCATATTTACTCCACTCGTCTTGTCTTAAATAGAATGGGTATCAGATCCAACTGTTTGTCGATCCATTTAACAGGATCAGTCATTATCCAATTAAGGGAAAGTTAAAGGGGAAATCTAATTCTATTCTAGAACAGCTTTCAGACCCCTAGATACTTCCATATTCTTCTTCTCTCACACACCTTTTCTTGTTTTCTTACCTTACATCCAATCAGACAGATAACAGTATAAATAAATGTTATGTTTTGAGGGTAGGTGTCAAACACACACCTGACACACAGCGGGAAGAAATGCATGTGGATGGCATCAAGCCTTTCTCTATAGTGACTGACCTGCATATTTTTAAATTATTAGACCCGTCATGGTAGGTAGCAGGAGGCTTCTGCACAGAGTTAGTCACCTGGAACCCAGCAGCAGCCACATACTTGCTGCCTTCTGCAACTGCCAATATTTCAGGGCTAGAATCTGCTTCTGAAAGTCCTTTCTTGATGGTTTCATACTGCCCAAGACTATGCAACAGCTGCGGATCCCTGTGGTGGTATCTGCCTTTGCTTTCCTCATGCTTCCTTGAGGATCTCTTAATCTCAAAGGATCCTCTTGGCAGGGAAAGGCTGCATTCTTGGTACCTTGTACCTTTTCCTCTGCAGAGATGTAAAGAGCAACTCTCATGTTCAATCAGCTCTTGTTGCTTTTTACCTTTGGATTCCAAATCTATCAGATCCATTCCATTAGGAGCAGAAGACCCATCCAAGTTTCCACATGGTTTACTACTATTTCTCCTTCTTCTTCGTGACAGTCGGAATTTAACTTGGGCTCTTCTTTTTGCCTGAATCCAGTGACTCTCATCTGGGGAAGAGGAATCTGAAGAATCTGTGTAAAGCTCACTCCATCTGGGGCTTGCGATCTGGAGGTGAAAATCACTTCTCCCTTTTATTTGTTCTTCTGCATGCTCATATCTCTCGGAGGCCCTCCTCCTCCTCCTAGGCCTCTGTTTTACTGATTTCTTACCAGACTCCTTCCTAGCAGGGCTGAGCACCATGACAGGGGTGCATTGCTCAAATGCATCTTCTGACATGTCATGCAAGATGGCAGATCTAGACAAAGCAGCAGGCAAAGGATGGGAGATGGGAATGGAGAGGAAAGCCATGGGAAAACAGAGAGAGAGAATGATGAAAATGATAGCATGGACCAGAAGTTGGGAAATAAAGTTCAAATGAAGAAAATGCATTGAAGGGGGAAAAATTGAACCAGTATAAATTGTCCATGGACAATGCAAGGCAGAAGCAAGAGCCACACAGTCTCATAATACAGGAGAGGAATACAAAACGTTGGTCTAAAAAATATTTAAATAGGATCATTTGCTGAGCACTTACCTGCAGATGTCCTGAGTGGATGGACAGACAGACAACCTTGACTGGCTCCTGGGAGCTGTCCCTGTCGTTGGACTGCTTGCCTGGAGAAACAAGTTAGATAATTTGGCATCTTGGTTAAGGTAATACATGGTCGATATCTTGCTTTTTTTCCACATATTTAAAAAATTACAGCAAACGTGGCTGCCGGTCATGTTGCTCATAACGCAGCTCACAACATATAGGAAGTTAGTTCGTTTTGCAAAAGTAAAACTTATTTGAGGAACTTGGAACAGCTGAGATGCTGTACCACTTTGCTGTTGCTTCATTTATGAGAGAGGAAGACGATTCCACAAGTTTCTGTTCTATTTACTGTAAACATTTGAATGGAATGGCTCAGTTTGCCTTGGAAGCAATGGGTAACACTTGAAAATTTCATAATACAAAGGACATGAAGGCTATTGTGTGACAAAGATCACACCAATGAAGCCTAAATAATCAAATAGCCATTAGCCTGCTAGATACTGTCTGGAATAAACATTAAGTCACATCAAGTCCCTAGGAGATAATGTATTTGAAAGCAGTTTGTAGTATTTAAAAGCTGATAGTTATTACTATTATTATTTCATCATTGAAACTAATAAAATCTATCCATCACACCATTATTGACCTTTCGTGACCATATTGAACCTGAGGATAATAGAGCCTGAAAAAACTCAGATTGTTAGCCTAGAGTTGAGCACATTTCACCAAACTCTTACCTTTGAAACACAGCATTTTCTTCACTAAATTTGACTTCTTTAACTTGTATTTAATACAGGTGATGATGATCAATCAAAAGGTAGAAGGTATTGAGAATTTGCTGTGTGCCAGGCATTGTACTGTGGCTTTATCGACTGTCTCCTAAATCTTTATTATAATCTCACAGGTGGGAGATAATAACAACTAACAGTTTTGAGTGAATACTATGCTCTAAGTACTTTTAGAGCAATCACTGTTCTAAGTAATTTTCATGTGTCCATTCATTAATGCTCACAAGAAGTGAATGTGTTAAATGTTGTAATCATTTCCATGTTATAGATAAGAAAACTGAAAAATTGGTGCTGCTTCATACAATTAGGTGCTAGGACAGAGGTTTGGGATGAGGAATCTTGCTCTCACATTTGTTCTCTTACCTACCTTGTAATACACTTCTCCTTCACACAGGAGGAAACTAAGGGAGGAGGCCTAGGTCCAAATTTAGATCAGTATGACTGCACAGATGAAATACAGTTTTCACATCAAGAAATAACAGTTAAGGTAGAAACAGTAACCCCAAATTTCAAAGTAGTTCTAAAATTTCCCATATTAGAGATAGATGGCTGTGGGTCCAGAGAAAGATAAACTAATTCTAAAACTCAAAAATTGAACTCAATAACTTTCAAGAGGAGGCATAGTAGGCTGAATAATACTGCCTTATGCTCCCCCTGCCCCCTCACCTGCCCCAAGATGTCAACACCCCAATCCCTGGGATTTGTGATTATGTTTCCTTACATGACAAGAGGGATTTTGCAGATATGATTAAGTTAAGAGTAGTGATATGGGGAGATCATCCTGGATTATCTTAATGGGCCCAATGTAAACATGAGGATCCTTATGAGAGGGAGCCAACAGAGGTAGGGTCAGAGAGAGAAGATGGAAGGATAGGAGCAGAGGTCAGAGAGGAAGAAAGATGCTACACTTTTGGCCTTGAAGATGGAGGGAGGGGTCTTGACCAAGGATGTAAGTGGCTTCTGGAAGCTGGAAAAGGCTAGAAAATGGGCTCTTCCCAAGACCTTCCAGAAGATGCAGCCATACTGACACCTCAGTTTTAGCTCAGTGAGACCCACACTTGACGTCTGACCTCCAAAACCATAAGACAATAGAGCTGTGCTGTTTTAATTCAACAAGTTTGTGGTAATTTGTCATGGTAGTCATAGGAAACTATGGAGACACAATAGGAGATGAGACTTAAGCTAATCTTAAAGGCAAGCAGGAATTATTAAAGAAGAGATAAAAAATATTCTAGGTAGAGGAAACAGGATGCCCAGAGGGAAGGATGGTGTTCTCAGCACGCTCCCACAGACGGATTAACATCTGCACGCTTCTGGTTTATAATTTTCAGAGGCTTCCCTATAAACCCATGAACAATGTATTTTTAAAATATGTGAATGCCATTTTTGAACACCAGTCCACGTTTGATTGTGTTCTTCAAGATTTCTATCAAAACTCATTTATTTCCAATTTTTAATTCAGATTAACTTCATTTCTGCATCACCAGAATAGATACATAGTCAATTTTCATAAAGTATAAGCATTCCTGTATTTTATGCTGTAAAGAGTAAGTTTTGTTAGGTTGTGCACCACTTATCCTACATACATCCACTGAGATTAGTAGGGGGTTCTGCATACAGCAGTCACTGAAAAAAGTGAAGTTCACTACTCATTCTCTTTAAAAAAAAAGCAATGCAGCCCAAAAGTAACCTCAAATTACTGATGACATTATAAAAATGAGCTAAAATATGTTGAGCATCATAATGGATATCCAGGGCTACTTAATGATTTGTTGAGGCCGATTCTATAAATCTGCATATGGAAAAGATGTTGAAATGTAATAAACAAATTTTATAATCTCACATGTCTGAGCAAATGTATGTTCTACAATGAGAATATGATTTGTCAATGAATAATAACACAGAACATTAAAAAACATGGAGCTTCCCTTTGGACAGTTTTTGGTCCACCACAACACTGAATCAAATAGCACTTATGTCTATAACTCTCATGTATTTTAAAGGAAATAGAAATCATCCTTATTGTCCATCAAGAATCTTCAAATAGCTCATATCCAATATTAGTGTATACAGGTTCAGCTTGGTGCTGGGGCAGATGCTGTAATATCAGCTATTGTAGCTGATGCTGTTAACATCCACTCTGTCCCTTTGGCCTTCCTCTGAGTTCACCTGAACACTGACTGATTCCCACTTGAGTGCCTGTGCCTGTTGGGTTCTACCCCCTGAGTCTTTGGTACAGGTGTACTTTCTTGGCTGCACACAGGCACAATCTGGAAGCTTAGGCTAAGCTAAAACCTCTGGGGACATCTCTTGGACTGGAGTCAGTGGATAAATGTCAGAGATTTCCCATTCTCCCAAAAGGGCAGTCCTAAAGTGACTTTCAGTTTCTCAAAAGATCCCAAGCTGGATTAAGGCCCATTGACCCTAACTCATCCACACACCCCTTTACTGGCATTCCCACTTTTTCTGTCTTTCTTCTCCCAAACTCTATAGTGCCTCCCGGGATCACTTTCTAGAAGAACTACCTGCACCCAACTAAGACAGTGGAATCTATTTGATCAACTGACTGATATAAAATTAACCCCAGCTTGTGTTACTTTAGGTTTATTTGTTTATAAACATGAATTAATGAGGGTCTATTGTAATACTATAGTGAGTTCTTGGAATAAAGAAAAGAGAGAAACCTGAAGAGGTTTCTTGTTTAGTGGAAAAGAGATTCAAATGAACAGGCAATTTTAGTATAGTCTAGTATATCTTGATAGTCTAGGAATGGGAGTTTTGATGAAGGAAGGACACTTGATGTAGAGTGGAGCAGAGATTTAAAGCAAGTATCCTCTAGGACACTTGAACATCTGAACAAGAAAACGTGAAGGTGAACAAAGTGTTATAATGACTGGGGCAGGGAGAGTGCTGAGTGAGATAAGAAGTGATACAAAATCAGGATAAAGGAATAGACAGAGGTCCTATATGTCACATTTAAATGCTTGGATTGTATCCTCAAATGAATGGTATCACTGACAGATATTCAGCAACAAATGGAAAGGATTAAATTTGAGCACTAGACACTACTTTGGCAGCTGAAAATTGGAAAGTTCAGGAGTGATTATAAGCAGGGGAAATATTTAGTATTCAATATATCCAGGATGTAGCAGGGAGTGAGAAAAGTGATAGTTTAAACAATATAATCCCAACTGGTTGTTTTTTTTTTTTAATGTTTATTTATTTATTTTGAGGAAAGAGAGCGTGAGTGGGGGAGGGGGGGGGAGAGAGAGAGAGAGAGAGAGAGAGAGAGAGAGAATCCCAAGCAGGCTCTGAGCTGTCAGTGCAGAGCTGGATTCAGGGCTTGATCTCACATATCATGACCTGAACTGAAATCAAGAGTTGGATACTTAACTGACTGAGCCACCCACATGCCCCGGTTTATTTTTAAATATGATTAAAATTATCTCAAAAATGAGTTGAAAAAAGTAACATGGGGAAACATCTTTAATGTTTAATGAAAATTTTTTAGTAAAGTTAAGTGGGATAAGTGGTTAGAGTACTTTTACCAGATATCAAAACATAGTATGAACCTTCAGGAATTAGGATAATATGTGTGTGTAAAACTATTATCTAGCTATCTATTTATCTCTTAGCTTTCCATTCCTTAGTACTTAATAAAGTTGCATTCCAAATTAGTGGAAAAAGGCCAGGTTATTAAATAGCATGAGGAGAAATGACTAGTCATCTGGAAAAATGTAAGGCTGGATCCCTGCCTTATTGCTTAGACTGAAGTTTAGGTGGAAACTTAAGACTTAATGAAAGACTTAAATGTTGTAAAATAAAAATAAAACTGAAAATATGAGAAGAAAACAAAACTGAGTATGTTTATAATATTGTGGAAAGGAATCCCTTTCTTAGGATGACATGAAATAAAAAATTAACATAGGAAGATTCAGGTAAGCATGATAATTAAAAAGAAAAAGTCCTAATTTATAAAAAAAGAAACACACTCACACACCAACATTACCCCAGACAAAACTCAAAGCCATGATAATGCCATATTTCATAACACATATGATAGCCAAACAGCTAATTTCTCTAGTACGTGTGGATATTTTACAAATTAAAGGGGAAAAAAAGGAAAATTGGTAGATCCTAGAAAAAAATGAATAAAACACAAAGGTAGTTCACAAGGGAGGAACTGCACATGGTTTTTGGCCACATGTAAAAAGATGCTCAATCTCAATAAGCAAACATATGCAAATTCAGTTAACAATGGCACTTACTTTCAATTACCAGATCAGCAGCACATTTATTTATTTTTAACTTTGAGTCAGAGAGAGACAGAGCATGAACGGGGGAGAGGCAGAGAGAGAGGGAGACACAGAATCGGAAGCAGACTCCAGGCTCTGAGCTGTCAGCACAGAGCCCGATGCGGGACTCAAACTCACGGACCGCGAGATCGTGACCTGAGCTGAAGTCGGATGCTCAACCGACTGAGCCACCCAGGCGCCCCTAGATCAGCACATTTAAAAAAGATTGATAACACCTAGTGTAGCCAAGGTGGGGGAAACTAAGCATTGCCATATATTGTTGAGGTAATTGTAAATGGGCACAACGTATTTGGAGGGCAATTTGGTAAACATCATTAAAATAAAAAAAAAAATCAATGGTGTTCACATCAGAAAATCTACTCAGGAATCAGTTTTTTTAAAGCACCTGCAAAATTGCCCAAAGATATATTCATTGTAACAAGAATGTTCATTACAGCACTGTTTGTAATAGCAAGAAATTGGCAATCACCCAAATGTTTAGTTATTAACATGGAAATACATAAGCCATATTAAGAAATGAGATATACCATGCAGACACACAAAGTGACACACACATATGTGTAGGATATATTTTTTAAGTGAGAAGTCAAGCTTCAGAACTGTATGCAGTATGGTCTCTTTGGGTAAATAATGCTTTCATGATATGTGCTATCATATGAATCGGACACATTTGGAGGAGCGCACATCCAACCATGAGCAGTGATTATCTTTGTGAGATAAGATTATGAGACACATTTAGTTTTCAGGCTATATATTTTATAATATGTAAAATTTTAATTTTAATAAAAGGAAAAATACATCATTTTAGTGATGTCATAAATGACAACTATTAATATAGAAACCAGTAATAGTATTTTCCCCCTAATATTTATTTGTCTATTAATTATTTGTTTAAAAGTTAATTTATTTTGAGAGACAGTGGGGGAGGGGTAGAGAGAGAGAATCCCAAGCAGGCTCTGTGCTATCAGCATCAGCGTAAAGCCCAACGTGGGGCTCAAACACACGAACCATGAGATGATGACCTGAGCTGAAATCAAGAGTCAGAAAGCTTAACCGACTGAGCCACCCAGGTGCCCCTCCTCTAATATTAAAAAACATCATAATAATGTTTATTATTTATTTTTGAGACAGAGACAGAGCATGAGCAGAGGAGGGTTAGACAGACACACACACACACACACACACACACACAGAATCTGAAGCAGGCTCCAGGCTCTGAGCTGTGAGCACAGAGCCCAATGCAGGACCCAAACCCAGGAACCATGAGATCATGACCTGAGCCGAAGGCAGACGCTCAACTGATTAAGCCATCCAGGCGTGCCTCCCTCCTCTATTCAAGTGATGAAGTCTTTGCTTATTTAGCCTCTTTGAATTTCACTTTCATTCTTCAATTACACGTACTCAACATGATATCTACACAATTCCAGTGTTCTCCCTCCCCATTTATCCACCCTGTGTTGAACAAGGTTTGGGGAGAGGGTGTGGGGCAGGACAGGATACACGCAAGACTCACCAGGATTTGTTTGTGGGAAAACCAAGAGCGTGATGCTTGTCCTTCCTTTCCCTGGAAAGACTGTAATGTCTTTCAGATCAGCTTTTCAGTGGGTAAGGGAAGTGCCTAATATAGTGCCTGCGTGGTAGGGTAAAAGTGACAGAGGCAGATGGACCTGTGCCAGCTTTCCCATTCCTCCAGACGAGGGTAGACTGAGGAAATCCAGGTGTCATCTTGTGCTTTCACGAGTATGTGAAAGATACCTGATATTGCTAGCCTGCAGAAGTAAGCAAGGGTCATGAGAGTTAAAGTCAATGTGACTTTGTAACAGAGGGCCACAAAGAAGACTATCAGACAAAGGCCTGGCAATGACAGTGAAAATCCAAATGGGTTGGAAGGTCAGCCTGCTTGATTGTAACAAAGAGCCAGACACCAGATCTTGGTGCCTTAGCAATAAGTCTGGTAAAAACTCTCAGAACAGAACTTTAAAGAGAGGTCCCTGCCCTAGTATACACTGAAAATTGAACGGGTAATGGGATGAAAGCTTGAAAGACTGGATGTGATTAAATTTTGAACTGGTAGAGACAGATCATTTTTTGAAAAAAAAAAAAAATCAGATATTTCCCATACCAGCAGTAAAGAGAAATCAAAAGGGAGATAAAGGGAAGGCTCACTGTGAGAAAGTCACACGTTCCCCCCATCCCCCACCCCCATATTGTGCAAAATATACCACACTTCATCCTGGGGGCCATGTGGGATCCCTAAGACACAATGTAGCAAATATCTGTACCATTGGCTGATTATAAAATCTAAATGTAGAAGAAAGTGATCTTGAAGTTGAGTCTATATAATCTTGTGGATTACAAACGGTGCATTAAGAAAGATGCAGGCTAGAC